TGCTGTTTGTAGCAGAAAACATTTCAACTGACACAACTGAGTCAAACAAAGTTGGTTAGGTTACTTAAGGAGAGTCCACTAGAAACTTTATCCTATATAACAAAAGGCTAATATGCAAATTGACCGAATAGCAGAATGACCAGTCACTATGACGCACACCACCAGGGGGCAGACGCTCAATGTAGGGGCTGCTCCCTGGTTGTCAGTGTGCTTCCACAGGGGGAGCGCCGCTCAGCTAGAAGCTGGGCTCACAGCTGGTGAGCGCAGTGGTGGTGGCGGGAGCCTCTCCCACCTCCGCAGCAGCACTAAGGATGTCTAACTGCAGGCTTACACCCACTCCCTGCGTCAGTCAGACATCCCCTGAGGGCTCCCAGACTGTGAGAGGGCATGGGCCGGGCTGAGGGTCTCTCCCATGCCCCTCCACCAAGTGCATGAATTTCGTGCACTGGGACTCTAGTTATGTTAATAAGCATTGTTGTACTATCCCCCAAATTTCTTTGGCTGTGCATTTCATTCTTTCACAGTGCATCTCACAACACAAGACCTAGTGTGACTCCTAAATTTCACAAAAGTATGAACTAAGACCTAAAGATTTAAATGACTTTTCTAAGTTATTACCACTGACTCTTCAACAGCTCAAGTTTGAACTGTGTGGGTAACTTCTACATGGATTTCTGTGCTGTTCAAGATCACACTGTTCAAGAGTTGACTGTATTGGTAGGTAGTCACTGATCTGGACCTAGAGTATAGGCTTCCTGGCTCCTAGGCCTGCATTCTCCCTTGAAGATCACACCCCCACTCTACCCAAAGAGGTAAAGCGGTTCCCTCAATGAAGATAAATCTCAAAAGAAGAGACTAATTATTCGTTTGCAGAGACTTCAGATTCATAAGCTATTATAATGCAAAAGTTGCAAGTTAGGGGGCTCATAGGCAACATAGAAACTTTACGTCAAATAAAACAGGTCTGAAGTATTTGAAAAAAAATCAACCAGTTACAATGTAAAAATCAGGTTATTTCAAATAAAAATATTAATTCTAGCTTCCCCAATAAAACTCAGGCAATCTTGCAACACCAGGCCTATATAGGGTGGGGCAAAAGTAGGCTTATAATTGTCCATATGGAAAATAACACAATAAATTTAGAAATAATAATACAAGAATAAACTCTTAGTTCTGTATGCTCACAACTGTAAACCTACTTTTGCTTCACCCTGTATTTCCACATAGTAACCAGCTAGAGCTGAGTGGCCATCTTTGCCTCCTGAGATGAACGCATGGGCACCGCCTGTTTGCCACAGTTTCTGCCACTCTCAATTGTACCCTAACGCTAATGCTGTCAGTGGTCATTTATAACTACACAAAAAATATTGTACCCAGTCTATTTCATTCAATTACCTTCCTGGCCCAATAGTCAATTATTTTGCTATCCTGGAAAAAATAATAAATATTAAAAAATATTTCCAAGATTCAGTAATTTTGCAACAACTACGTTACAAAGTTGAGACACACAATAACTCTCTTTTCTTCCCTTACTGACCAAGACCATGTCCTTTTCTGAACAACTGAGTCGATGATGAACAAGTTTCTTTACTGTGCATCTTTTTTGAGTCCTTCATGGGCCAGGGGGTTAAGAGGGCCAGCATGTATTATTTTTGGGAAGGGGGCATGAATATCTTTTTTCAGAGACCATGTCTTTGTCCCTATTATCAACTAAATATACCTTGGGAAATACTGTCACAATGTCCCTCCCTGTCAGTGAGCCTGTGGACTAATGCCTCTTGTTGCTGGAATTATTCTCTGCTATTCCCTGGAAGTTGTTTTGAGAACAGAACTATAGCAGCCTGGTCTCCATCAGGCCAGCACCCAGCACAGGCCAGTCTGTGGTCTGATAAACACTGACGCTATCCCGAAGAATAGCCCCATTATTCTAGGATACCTAGGACAGAGGATTTCTGGCAGAGCAGGGAGAACAGGACCAGCCTAATTAAGGTCCACAGGCATCCCTCCCCAAGAAGTCAGCTTCCTGGCTCCCTATCTTCTCTGAAAACAACAAAAAAGGGGAAAGGTGGAAAACAAAGCGATGGGGTGGATTGGTGACAGGTGAAACCTGTGCTTTCTTCAAAGCCAGTCTCTTCACAGAAAGGCATTGGACCCCAACAGTCATCTTTCCTTCTCTTTACAATTCCTATTCACAGGTGAGGAACGACTAATCTCAACCCTAGGTTGTGCCAACAACAATCAGGACAACTGGGTCTAGCTGAGAAAACAACAACAAACCCAAACCAAAAGCCTTGAGATTAATTTTTTAGACGTAGGTGTGGCTGGAAGCTCATCTGAAGCTGAGGGAGAAAGTGGAGCTTCTCTTGGGGGTGTCCTGGGGACGAATGAGTCCCCTATGTTACATGTCTCCTTAGAAGTTTCCCTGGCGACAACTTTCCAGGTGAAGCTGGGCTCAGAAACGCTCTCATCAGCAGCTCCAAGTTGAGGAAGAGGACCCCCCCTTAGCAGGAAGCAGACCTTACACTTACACGTACGGCTGCAGTGCACACCTTGCAGCAAGAATGGTCAGAGCAACTGTGGAACTCCTACTGAATTCAGGTTGATAAAGCCAGAGGGAAAACGTCAGACAGATAGTGCTCCTTGAGCCAGACATGTTCCTAATTTGCCAACAAGTCAAGTCCTCACCTGCCGGTGAGTCAATCAGCTAAGGCGTCTACCTGCTAGCCCAGCATGCACTCGGTCCGGCAGTCTCTGCAAGCCGTGGCTCGGCTGCCTTGCTTCTTCCAGGCTACGTTACAAAGTTGAGACACACAATAACTATTTCCTTCCCTTACTGACCAAGACCGTGTCCTTTTCCAAACAACCGAGTTTGGTCACTTGCTCGATAGAACCTCTATAAAACAATGACATGCATAAGAGAACAATGTGGCAAGGCAGGTGGTGTGCAGTTTTTGCTTTGGGTGGGACAACATCAGAGAGAAAGCTTAAGGACAGGCCTAATGATGGAGCTAATATGAGTATTACATTCTAAAAATAAAGCAGTCACAGCTTACATATTGAGCATTTATTATAGGTCGGGCATAGTGCTAAGAACTTTCTAAGGATTATCTTGTGCAATTATGGGGACCACCCCGGAAGTGTTCCGATTTTATGAATGCAGAAATGAGGCTCAGAGAGATTAGGTTAGGTGCCTAAGGTCATGTAGTTCCCTAGTGGTAGAGACAGTGTTCAACCCAGGCAGTGTGTCTCCGATGCTGCTTCTCCTAAAACAACACTCCACTGCTCCCCCAACAGCCATGCCTCTTGCCCTGGAGCGGCTCTGAACTCTAATGTGCTCATGGCCACACAGGACTAAGAATACACGAGAATTGATGCAAAATTCTTAGCTACTGAACACATTTGATACAGCAAAGAAAATGTCACATAATAAAGGCCAAATTTTAATAAACAACTGAACAATTGAGTCAAGCCTCTATTTTAATTTTTGTTTCCTGTTTTTTGTTTTGTTTGTTTTAGACTATAATCTTCACTGTGAAGAACTGAACAGCTTCACTGAGATAAAACAATGTTATCTCCCTACTCCATCCCTTCTCTAAACAGTAGCCCAGAGGGGCAGCAGCCACAGACAGAACAGAGCTGGGCCCACGAGACTTCCCCGAAGGGTTTTTGCTTTACCTGCTGTAGACGAGGCATTCTCGGTTGTTGATCACTTTGTCGGATTGGTACCTCTGGAAGTCTTCCCAAGCATCCTTGATAGCAGTGACCCCCAGGATGATACAGATGGGTATCAGGTTCACCTCAGGCTGGAAAGCATTGACCACGGGGACAAAATTCAGAACAGCAATGCCCACGAAATAGATATTGGCAAACCGGTGTAGCTGCTCAAAGACGTTCTTGGGTACGAAGGACAGCACAGTGTACTTGCTGGTCTTAATTTGATTCCCACGGTAATGCCTGTTGGGGTTCTCTTTGTGGGCACATCCCTCGAAGGGCAGGTTGGAGACCACCACTCGTTTCTTGTCTTCTTTCCTCTTCCGCCGTCCCTTCCCTTCCTTTTTCATCTCTGCTCAATCCCGTCTCTTTGATTCTCATGTGAGTTCCACAGGAAGGAGGTTTTCCCCTGGTCAGTTTCATGGTCCAGCAACCAGCCAGTCACGTCCCTGACATTGTTTACCTCCCTTCTCTGCTGAAAATTTCTCTCTTCTTTTACAAGGCATATTAAAAATAAAAAGCTGGTCCACAAACACCCGGGGAGAAATCTGACAAGGAAAGAGCTTGCTAAGAGCAGGTGTCCACCTGCCAGGCCACTTCCTCCTACTTGTTGAGACTCCACCTGTTGGAATGTAGACGTCACCCACAGGTATCTTTCGTTTCCAGTCCTCCAGTCCTGGCAGCCAAGAACAGGTGTGTCTACTCTGGGTCCTAAAACCTATCAGCTTACATTCTAAAGGTAAGGATTTTTAACCAAGAGGCTCAAATGCTGGAAAACTGGTATTCATTTTCTTGTTTAAAAGACATTGCCTGTCACTCTCTAAGATCTGCTCCTCAGTTTGGTCTCCTGAGATGATCCAGTCAATACTAGAGTTTGATTTTTGAGCTCTTAGCCCTATTTCTAATAATATAACATCTCTATGTTTAAGTAGGTGAGAGCTTATACAAGTGAAATGAAGGTTTCTAAGTCTCAGCACTTTTGACACTTGAGGGTGGATAATAATTGTTTGCTGTGGGGGCTGTCTCATATACTGTAAGATGTTTAACATGATCCTTTAGTAAGACCAACTAGCTAGATACCAGTAGCAACTTCCTTTCCCAAAATGACAACCACAAATGTCTCCAGACATTGTCAAATGTCCCCTGCAGGGCAAACGTGCCCTGGTTGAGAATCACTGAATTAAGTGAATGTAAGAAAATGTATGAGAAGAGAGACCAACCTTTTGAAAGTGTGGATGAGTCTGAATGACCTATTTAAAGAGAGACGGCAGGAGAATGATGCCTCTTACCTTTCATATATCTGGATGTGGGAGAAGTTTATCTCTCTATCGAAGCAGTACCGCTTGAAGTCCTCCATGCCGTCCTTGACCATGATGATGAACAGCACAGTGGCCAATGGTAACATGGTGATTTCCCTGTGGAAAACTTCCATGGTGGGCATCCAGTTCAGAATCACCAGGAACAGGAAATAGAGGTTGGCCCACCTGGAAGGGGCAAGCAAGGTGTGAGTGAATATCACGGAGGAGAAAAATATACTTTCCACACTATTTCTACTATTGGCCTTTAACCAACTAAAATGACATTCTTTCTCAGTGTCACCTCGAACATTATGGTAAGGGTTGTGAAGCCAGATCTACCTAGATTCAAACTGGGTTCCTATTGTTTACTAGTTGTGTGACCTCCTGAGCCTGTTTTGTCTTGTGTAAAATAGGGATAGTACTGCCTACTTTAAAGGGCTCTTATAGATATTACATGAGCTAATAATTTATGTACACAAGAGAGGGTTTTGGAGCATGGCAGTTGCTCAATAAATGGTAGCTTATAATAATAATTACAAAGGTTAGGATGATATCGAAGTGCACATTTTGCTTTACAAAATAAAAAGATGATTTTGCATATGTTATCTCTAAAGAGTGGGCTGTATTTTTAAGTTCTCCAAGTGCATCTTGCTCCCCCTTGCCACAGTGCTTTTGTACATGAAGATCTGTCTGCAGGAACAGTCTTCTGGCTCCCTTCTCTGACCCTTCTCTGCCTTTTTTCACCTAGTTAACACATTCTCTTCTTTCAGGTTATATTTCAATGATCAGTTCCCCCTGGAAGCCTTCCTGGATTTTTTTAATGAGGCCAGCTTTCCCTCTTCCTCCAACAGCACCATAGGTCTCTCCTTGGGGAATATCTGAGTTATAATTTTACATTGATTCATATAATTAGTAAAATTAATGTCTCTTTCACTGGACATTGTACTCAGGATAGTCTCTTTTTATTTCTCACGTATTTCTAGAAATCAACTGATGGCCTAATACAGAGTAGAATCTGTACAGAATTTAATATCTGAGCAGAATCTGTATAAATATTTACTGAATGAATGATAAGACTTCCAATGTACATGAATTTGCATTTTAAAGGAAAGGTGGTCCATAGTGCACACCTCTGAGGTTCTCTGAGTGGCAGATATGCGCTTCAAGTGAGTATTGGCCAAGTATACCTGTGAAACTGCTCCATGAGATTCCGGGGCAGGAAGGTAAGGAGGGTGTACTTGGTTGTGCAGATTCTGTTGCCTGAGTATCTCTTGGAGACCTCTGCCCAATCTTGGTGGAATATGTTGTTGTTGGGGAACACGATCCGTTGCTGCGTCAGATTGTAGCTCTGCCTCTCCTTCTCTGGGGACAGCAGCGGTGTGGCTTCTGATGGGGACTGGAGGAGGCCATCTCTGATACGCCACTGCCACCGGTGCCAGGATGAGTCCACTGACAGGGCCATTTCTGGCAGCAAGCTACGTGCTGAAAACAGACACATGAGGTCTCCATGATCAGAAGAAATATGTAGTATATCAGCACATATCCACCCTCTGTCCACCCATCCTTCCAAGGAAGGTACTGGGATACAATGTGAAGAAACTAGATTCAATCCCCACAATCCATTTTTGTTCTAGGCTGAGAGACATTGAGCAAATAATCTCTCTATATAAACGCCTAAGCAACCATACAACCGTTCAACTGGTCAACTTGTTGTTATGATGTGCACTCACCACCAGGGGGCAGATGCTCAACACACAGGATTGAGCTCCCTCCTTTCTGGGTCAGGCCTGTGGGGATCTGGCTGAAACTGGCTCTCTGACATCCCCAAGTAGTCCTGGATTGCGAGAGGGCACAGGCCAGGCCAAGGGACTCCACCAGTGCACGAATCCATGCACCAGGCCTCTAGTCATATAAATAATACACAACTAACACTGTGATAAGCGCCACGAAAGCACTTAAGGGGAAGAGATTCTGATGACCGAGTTGCAGCTATCAGTAAAAGTATGGCCTGGTGGGCTATGACCCCAGAGGTCAGAACTCTAGGTCTGGTTCATTGCTAACCCTGAACTGTCCCTTCACCTGGCTGGTCTTCAGTTTCCTCACCATAATATGAGGAAAACTACTCTTTCTCGACTTTTCTCACAAGCTTTTGTGAGGAACAAATTGAATAGTACATAAAAGTACATTCGGACATATCTTGAAGGGAAAGGTGTCTATTCTTTAGGTTTTCTCCAGCTCTAAATTTTTCTGACACTGATGATATTTCGAAGAACCCAAATTGTGGCCAGAACCTCAAAGGACAGTAACAGGTGGGTCAGAAGAGAGAGGTTCTTTTCCAGGACATTCTAGGATGTGCTATGTGGTGTCCCAGGAACACCAGCTGGCTTTTTCAGATCTTGTTGACTGGGGTTGGGGGCGGGAGATCCCTTCCTTCCTCTCCACTCCAATTGGTGGTTTCAGAAACTGAGTGCTTGTCAAGCAGCCAATCTCCCTAGACAGTGGACGAATACTGCTTGATCTGGAATATTTCTATTTCTGAGGTCATTAAGTGAAATTTATGGGCAATTCTTCAAGGTTCCTTTTAGCCAAATCTTGCTTAAAGACCCAGAAGAATGTTATGCAAAGATAACCTCAGTAAAGTTAAAAGTTGTATATAATGGTGCTTTGCACAGGATAATTTTCTTTTGAATAAATGGATGAGTGAATATCAGGTATTATTAATCTTATAAGGAGTTATCCCACTTGTCACTGTAAATATGATTCACTTAAGGAAAAAAAAAAATCCCATTTCTCGTTTAAATGGTAATATTTTCCCTTCCTGGTGCCCATGTGATCTGACCCTTATCATAATTCTCCTCATGACTTTAATCAATCCAAATGATTTGCAATCCACAAACCCCATGGCTACAAGAAGCTCTTCAGAGTCCTAAGTGAGTCCTTCTAGCAAGCATGAAAAAATAAATGCAATTACTGATGCCCATCATAATATGACCAGAAGCTGTATTATGACATGTGACAAGCCAGAAATAATAATGTATATCTTCTTTCTCATTATAAAAAATATGCCTCTTTTTATGGATTCTTTTTTTATTCAAAAGAAAAGGAAATGAAAAGATAAAAATTCAAGAATAGAGTGGAAAATGCAAGTGAGAAATACTGCCTTGGCTAGTGCCATGCATATGAGTCTTCTCACAACTTTAGGTGATAAGATCTTCATAAATGAACAGATTAGGTTGATATGGGAGATGCAGGTATTTTACATGGGGTGGTTTAAAGAGCACATTTATCATCATCCTATTCTTTATTAACAATGTAAAATAAGCTTCCTTAGAAATTAAGCAGATATAAAATGAATGCCAGATCAATGGATGAGACTCTGATGAACAACTAGACATTTCCATCATTTCAAAGTATCTACTCCCCAACTACCCCCCCCCCCCCAATAATTACTTAAAATGTTAAAAAAGAATCACTTTGTAGTAAAGAACCCTGGCAGGTACCACCTTACCCAAAAGATCAAAGCAAATATCATTGATACCGGGATAACATGACATCTTGGGCCTCTTGATATGATGTACTTAGAAGGGCATGGCATCACGTCTGTGGTGAGCATAAGGAAACACTAAAAAAAGTCAAATTTGGTCTATTCTACAAAACAACTAGCTTACATTTTTCAAATGTCAAAGGTCAAAGAAGAGCACAGGGACTGTGTCTGATTTAAAAAGACTAAAAAGAGTTGACAACTAAATGTAATGTATGATGCTGGATAGGATCCTGAACTTGTGGGAAATTAAAAAAAAAATAGGTGAGTTGAAAGATGGCGACATAGGTAAACACCGGAGTTTGCTGCCTCAAACAATCACTTCAAAAATACAACTAAAAGACGGAACAGACATCATCCAGAACCACAGGAAGGCTGGCTGAGTGGAAGTTCTACAACTAGGAGGAAAGAGAAAAACATACCAAGACTCAGAGGAGGCACAGTGCTGAAGTAAAATATTAAGGTGCAGAGTGCATGTGGAGTGGGCTGGAAGCTGAGGGCGTGGTTGTTGTTTTCAATAG